GTAGGCTTATAATACTAAGATCTAATAATTTACTAATAAGGAGGTTTATACCCTTATTAATCCTCTTTTTAATATAAAGATTTTTCTTAGTAAGTAGGTATTTAATATTAAAACTAATATAAAAAATAAAATTATTAGATATAAGGCCTAATAGGTAGTCTATAGTAACTATAAGTAAGGTAAATAGTCTTTATAAAAAGTATACACTACTATAGCTACTACTACTACTATATACCTCTTTTTTACTATTATTACCTTATATAGACTAGTATATAAAATATATAACTTTAATACTACTTTTCTTACTACTTTTATACCTAATAGCACTTATATCTATATTTATTAACCTACTAGTTACACTATTAATAATAATAAGGTGTAGTTACTTTATAAGGCTCTTTATAGCCTTTATAAGGCACTACTATAGTAGTTTATACTTATTAAAGGTAAAATAAAAAAAATTAGCTTCTACTTAGTTAAAGGAGAAATTTATCTTTTTATTAATAAGGAGCTTAATACCTACACCTTAATATATATTAATAATAATATAGTAGCTACTACTAATAAGGAGACTACTAAAAAGGTATATAACATACTTACTAAGGTCTACTTATTAAAGGACCTTAGTAAGGCTTCTTAGTTTCTTAGCTTCTAGATCTAGCGCTTTACTACTAGTAAGATCTTTATTAACTAATATAAGTATACTAATAGTATACTTTATTACTTTAGATATAGTAATCTTTAACCTATTAAGACTTTATTACTTACTAACTATAAGTTACTTACTATATAAATAAAAAATAAGTGTTTTAAACCTAACTAATAAACCTATATTAAGTAGACTAGCTGCCTTAACTAGTTAGCTACTAGTATACGCCTAGATATTACTTTTATAGTTAGTAAGCTCTCTTAGGCTAATACTAGCCTATTATCTGCCTATCTAGCTGCTATTAAGTATCTTTTTTACTATCTTAAAGGCACTACCTATTATAGTATCTTATTTAGTAGACTTAACCCCTCTGCTAACGTTAGCCTTTATATAATAGTAAATACTTTTTTTACTAATAATTACCTATTATAGGTTTCTATAGGTAGTTATATTATCTACTTTATAGGATTACTAATTACCTAGAAGTTAAAAAAGTAGACCTTTATTACTTTAAGCTTTATAAAAGTAAAGTTTATTAACCTTATACCTACTATTATTACTATAAAGTAGATTTACTACTATACTAAGTAGCTCTTTAGCTAACTAATAGATATACTAACTATCCTTTTTACTAATAGTACTAATATAATAGTTAATATTATAAATCCCCTTAATAAGGTATATACCTAAAGTATTAACATCTAATATAAATAAATAATATAAGAGGTCTACACCTAAAAAAATATTACCCTCTAACTTATTAAGGGCACTAAGATAGCTACTAATAGTCTTACTAAACTACTAGCACTAACTAAATATAAAGACTTTATATAGTTACTAAGTATAGTAAATAGGTTAGATTAAAAAGCTATATAGGCTATTATAAAGGATATATATTAGTAAATTAATATTATATAGACTTTAGCGTATAGATTAATTATTACTAAACTAATAAGATAATTACTAGCGTATTACTAAAGTTATTAAATACTTTAAAAACTTCTTAGATTTAGAGGATTTAAGATTAGGCTGTTATTTTACCCCTATGTACAATATTCATTAAGTTAGTAGAGCCTGAGGGGGAGTGTTATAAGGGGGCCCGTGTGCTAGGAGGTCACGTGACCTCCTGGGCCCCTCACCTTTATCTAGCCTCTGCCTATAGCCTTAAGAGGAGGATTTTCCTCCTCACCACCACACACCACTACAGATCGGCAATATCACTATTTGCCTCACTTCGTTGCTCTTGTGCTCCCACAGAAGAAAAGGCTTGAATTGTGTGAAGACGAATCTCCCGGGTGGAGGGCCTATATAAAGGGGGCCCTTGAGCTCGTTCATGTGACATGGCACGTGGTGTGGCTGACGGCAACCGCCACACATACATGAGCCTCCTGTGATATTCAACCATGGTTGTCTGTTTCTTCAAATTACATCTTTCTCGCCACCCCTTTAGATAGCAATTATCCGTACTGAGTAAGCTTATGCGAACCAGAAGGGGCAACACACTACACTGTATCACGGGACCCCTGTCGGCTTTCAAGGGTCCGATCCCTTTGCTCTTGACGATAGCTGCCTGTTGTAAACTTGTGATTTGGCTTGATGATATTATTTCCTGACTGCTTCCAAGTCAGTCTGTCTGTCCGCTTTTATTTTGTCACAGTCATCCTTTTACCTCATCTTCCTCTTGTTCCTCTACCTCACTTTTCCTCCTCACAATTTTAATCAACATCTATCTTCCGGATGGATTAAGACACTCTTTCAGAATTCCTCTTCCTCATCTTCTCACACATCTCCGTCATAATCCACTCCTAAAAACTTAGCCTTCTCACCGTCCATGAAGACTTCTTCTCTCTGTGCCCTTGTGGCCGTGGCAGCTAGGGCTTTTGCGTCCTCTGACCTCGACGCTCGGCAAACTGAGGATGAACTTGACCAATGGCTCTCAGCGGTGCAGGCCCAGCCTCTTGACGCCCTCAAGTCATGCCCCGTCTCATGCAGCACCGCTGGTGACGACCCATGGTTTCTGTTCCCGGATGCGTCCCATTTGGCCTCCTGCAACGAGACGATGCTGCTCAGTATCGCCGTTCAGGCGGCTGAGGAAAATGAGAACAATGACAGGCCAACCGTCGTCAGGGCGTGCACAGCCGACTACGATACCTCCACGTCTATGAGGCTTGCCTTCGTGCCCGATTCAACCAAGGCATCCCTCTGCCTCACGGCTAACAAGGTGCTGAGCCCAGGCTCGATACACATGCACCAGCCCAGCGAGGGTAGCGAATTCTTGGTGGGACATCTCATGTCTGCTGGCCAACAGGTCAAAAGCCATCTTGCGTCTCAAGTGCCGTCATGCACCAGCAACGTCATGGCCTTTGGCTACTCGCAATCCGCAGTCATCGGTCTCTTTGCCGGCGCCGAGGTGCACCAACACGGTGTGACAGCCGACGTTCTGGACAAGTTCCTCGAGCATGCACAGGACAAATCCATCTCCAGCAGCACCATGGTGCAGCTGTGCGGAGCCGAGCATAGAGGTGCCGACTACAGCATAGGCATCGTGGCCAGCAGTACCAATAACCTTGACTTTGTCCAGCAGGCAGTCAAGACATGGGCCGACGGCAAGTGTGTCTCCCAGGCGGATGCGGGCGAAGACTAGATGACTGTCACTCTACGCATTCCTGTTCCTGTAGATGAGCTGCAGTTTTCCAACAACTCTACCGGCAACGGCACGGCCAGCTCTCATCAGTTCACTCCTCGGGATATGGATGTCTCTCCCAGCATCTCCAGGCTACTTCCTCGGGCCGACTGCAGGTTTACCACCGTGCAGGCGAATGAAGGCTGCTATGCCGTGGCAGAACGATGCGGAATCTCGCAAACTCAACTGCAAAACCTCAATCGCGCCAATCTTTGCGACTCGCTTGTGCGCGAAGAGCGTGTATGCTGCAGTAGCGGCACTCTACCCAGCACCCTGCCTCCCGGAAACTCGGATGGCACCTGCAAAACACGTCAGGTTATTCCGCGTGACGACTGTGGCTCATTGGCCAACAAGTGTGTGAGTTTAAGCTGCAAGAAACCGCTGCCCAGCCAAGACTGACAGGAGCCAAAAACAGTGAATTTCTGCAGACGACTTCATGAAAGCGAATTCCAAGACGGGTCTCTGCTCCAGTTTGGCTGAGGGTCAACATGTCTGCTGCAGTCAGGGCAAGTTGCCTGACCTGAGGCCCAAAGAGGACGCCGATGGCTACTGCGCCGTCTACACCACCAAAGAAGACGACTACTGCTCCAAGATCGCTGCAAGCTTCATGCTCACTATAGAAGAGCTGGAGTCTTTTAACAAGAACACATGGGGCTGGAACGGATGCAAAACGCCGCTCTACACTAAGTTCAACGTGTGCGTCAGTGAAGGGGCGGCGCCCATGCCTGCAATTGTTCCTGTAAGCAAAAAACGCCTTGTTGTACTGCTCTTTGAGCCCATTTTGATATAAGACGTGTACTGATATGGCATCTTTGACCCAGAACGCGGTATGCGGACCGACGATGAACGGCACCATACGACCACCCGCGGGGACCAACATCAGCGAGTTGAACCCCTGCCCTCTCAATGTCTGCTGCAACATTTGGGGGCAATGCGGTATGGCCGACGACTTCTGTATCGTTTCCAAATCCGAGACGGGTGCTCCAGGCACTTCGGCTCCCGGCAAGAATGGTTGCATCAGCAACTGCGGTAGAGATATCATCAAGGGCTCCGCGCCGGCAAAGAAGGTCAAACTTGGCTACTTTGAGGGCTGGAACCTGAACCGCAAGTGCCTGACCATGGACGCGAGCCAAATCAACACAGACGCTTACACCCACGTGCATTTCGCCTTCCCCAACGTCACGCGCGGCGATTTTCGCATAGAAATCACGGATCCGCAGGTGAAGGAGCAGTTTGATTATTTCAAGAAGCTCGAGGGTGTCAAGAAGATTGTTTCCTTGGGTGGATGGGACTTCAGTGCTCTCCCGGGGACTTTCATGATTCTTCGAGAGGCGGCCCAGCCGGCCAACCGCGACGTCTTCAAGCGCAACATCATCTCTTTTATCAACGAGCACAACCTGGATGGAATCGATCTTGACTGGGAGTACCCAGGAGCTCCTGACATTCCCGACATCCCCTCGGACGATCCGGTCAACGGTGTCAATTACTACCGGCTTCTGGTCAGCATCAAGGCCGAGGTCGGCAGCTCCAAGTCGGTCTCGTTCGCGGCCCCAGCGTCGTACTGGTACCTCCGTGCACTCCCCATCAAGCAAATGGCCGCAGCCCTCGACTATATTGTGTTCATGACATATGATCTGCATGGCCAATGGGACGCTGGTAACAAATGGACCTCACCGGGCTGCCCAACCGGCAACTGCCTGCGGTCACACGTCAACGAAACCGAGACCAAGGATGCGCTCTCCATGATCACCAAGGCAGGAGCCGCCTCCAACAAGATCCTTTTCGGCGTTTCTAGCTACGGGCGGTCCTTCAAGATGGCCCAGGCCGGCTGCGATGGCGAGACTTGTCTGTTCACGGGCGACAACCGCCATTCAGGGGCTGCCAAGGGTCGTTGCACGGGAACCGCCGGCTACATCTCCAACGCCGAAATCGACGAAATCAAGGCCACTGACAGGTCTAACAAGGTCTGGACGAAAGAAGGCTCTAACATCATGGCTCACGATAACACAGAGTGGGTGGCCTGGATGGATGACGACATGAAGGCAAAAAGAGCCGAGTTCTACGATTCGTATAACTTCCTTGGCACGACCGATTGGGCGATCGACCTGCAGGAATGGTTAGACGGCTCGGGCAGCATCAGCGATGACAACACGAACGAGTTTGTCTATAAAGAGCTTTCCGCTTGCACTGCCTCCTTCTCGACGCTTAAGCAGCTCGAGGAACGCAAAGGATCAATCCCGTCGCACTGCTTGGAGCAGTATATCGTCGATGTACAGGTCGCCGTTTTTGACGACTCGCTCAAGAAATACAACAAACTCATCGAGGACGGTTACGACAGCAAGTTCTCCACCTGGAAGGGCTACATCAAGGAACAGATACCCGGTCAGATCAAGAAATCCATGGCCACCGACAAGGTCGACAAGTACTTCAAGTGCGGCGAGACGAAGACCGTGACTTGCTGCAACACGTGCAAGAGCGCTTGGTAAGTCCGACTTCAGACACGTGCATTATGTCATTCTTTGCGAGATACCCAATAGCTGACAAGACTTCTCTCCAGGTGTGGTGTTGATTGCGAAAGATTTGAGGGCTGTAAGAATGGCAAACAGATGGTGCCCAGAGACAAGTGTCCCAAGGCCGAGTTTGATCCCACAGGCCTTGGCGGTGATCACCCCAACAGCACGTTCACCCTGACCGACCGGGAAGGCTTCTTCAAGGACATTCATGAGACGTGGGGAGTCGATGAGGAGTGGATCACGTTCAGCAAGCGCCAAATGTCCCGCGCCAACGGCTGCCAGTACGCCGGCAAGGATGTCAAAGACTGCATCGCCTGGAATAGCATCTTCTTCCACGACTTCCCCACCATGGACAGTGGCAAGACGAAGATCAACAACCCCAAGGACATCATCGTCAAGGCTCTCCCCGACGCCAAGGGGCTGCTCGACCGGTACCGCGACATGAAGACGTTTGCCGAGTTCGAAGACGACCTCGAAATGTCCGATCTTACCGACTCAGGCTCGCTGCCCGCCTTTGCCGTCGAGCAGGCGGTCGGGGAGATGGAAAAGATCGTCAAGGAAGCCAGCGGGATTGAGAAGAAGCGCCGCGAGGAGTTCATCCTCAGCATGATTATGGGTTTCCTCTTCTTCATCCCCTTCCTCGGCCCCACCGGCGGCAGCGCCGTCGCGGTCGGCGTGCGCACCCTGCTCCGACTGATCGAAGTCGGCGCCGAAGTCGGTCTGGCCGTCTACAGCGTCGTCAACGACCCGGACAACGCCTTCATGACCGTTTTCACCACCCTCTTGGCCGCCGGTTTCAGCCGCGGCGGGTTCAGGGACGCTGCCAGGTCAAGACGCGGCATGAGCTCCAACGAGTATAACAGTCTCGGTAACATCAAGCTTAAACTTGACATAATTAATACTCTCTGGGGTAGCATGTGCTCTCTTTAGCTGTAGGATCTTAAGAAGAGGAGACAGCAGTTATTAGAGGCGGGGATAGTATTAAGTAAAGGAGTTAGCAGTAGGTGTAGTTAGGGTTTAATTATAATAATTATTCTAATATACCTCCTCTAACCCCTATCTTCTATAGAGTTTTCTTTTTTTATTATTCCTTTAGTAACTAGTTTATCTAGTCCTAGTCCTACTCTAGTGCCCCCCTAAGGCCCTGCTTTAGGCACCTAACATAATCCCCCCCTCTAAGGTCCTGCCCTTAGGACCCTAAGTAGGCTATCTACTAGTGGCCCCCTATTAGCTGCTTAGACTATTTAATAGCTAAGCCTTATACCTAACTCCTAATCTTTTAGGGCCTTAAGCTAGCTACCTACTAGTAGTCCCCCTATTAGCTACTTAGACTATTTAATAGCTAAGCCTTATACTTTATACTTATTTTTTAGTATCTTAAGAGATATTTAGAAATACTTATTAGGCTTAGTAAGCTACTAAATAAGTAGTTATCTCTCTAGCTAACTATTTACTTTTAGCCTTACCTTTATACTATTATATTCTAACTAGGCTTTAACTATTACCTTTTTAGTATAGTTTAGTTTTTTAGCCTAAAGTATAAGTCTTATATTACCTTACTTAATAAGGGACTACTTACTTTATAATAAAAATACTTTATTTACTTATAATACTTTTTAATACTTTTTATTAACTAAGCCTTATAATACTTTTTTAAATACTATATACTTTTTATTATTTTTATTATTATAATATTTAGCTTTTTTATTAACTATTTATTAAGCCTTAAGTTATATTACTTTTATAATAAAAAAGAATTTTTACTTTACTTTTTATAATTAGTATTAGTAACTTTTTAGTCTTAGCTAGCTTTTTTTACTAAGGCCTATTTAGTCTTAACTTTATAAGCTTAAGTTATTATTATAACTAGCCTTTTTTTTAATACTAACTTAAAATAAGTAATTTAAATTAACTTAGGTTTTTATTAATTTCTTTATTACTTAATTTTTTTTTAAAAATACTTTTATATTATTATTTTTTTTTATTACTACTATTACTACTACTACTTAGTAGTAATAGTAATAGTAATAGCACTAGTAATAGTACTAATACTACTAGCTCTCTTATTACTATTATTATATTTACTACTATACTTACTAACGCTACTACTACTACTAATATTACTACTTTTACTACTCTTAAGGGCACTAAAGGCCTTATTATTACCCCCTTACTACCCCTTTAGTCTATTAGCTCTTTAGATAAAAAAAATAAAAATAACTATACTATAGTTTATTTTATTTTATACTACTACTACTTTTAGGCTATATCTATTTAGTATATAAATATAGCTAATACTAAGGCTAAGTTTTTTTACTACCTTAAGACTACTAGTAAGTGTTTAACACCTTAGTGCCCCTTAAGGGCCCCTTTTTACTTATATTCTAGTCTTAATTATACTATTAGTGTTAAATAGTAGGAATTATAATAGTTACTTAATTAATTCTGTTATATGTTATATATCTATAGTAAATTACTATAGAAATAAGGAAAACCCCCTATTTCTTAGTTAGGAAATCCCTAGCTAATCCTAGTAATATTATTAGTAAAGTTACTACTAAAAGTAAGGCTAATTTACTGCTTATTCTCTAATAATTTACTATAAGGTAACTATATATTTACTAGCTAATTTATATATAATTCTACTATATTTAACACACCTCCTTAGCGCTAGTAACGTAGTTAATTACTATAGAGCCTACACTAAATATCCTCTATATATAGCCTATTTATTTATTAATTATCCTTTAATATCTTATATGTTTTCTTTCTCTATTTAGTAGTAAAGCTTTACTTTATTATTAGCTAATTCTTACTATTAATTTACTTTAAGGCGTATACGTCAGTTACTTATATTTAATTAAGCTATAAATATAGTAAATTATAGCGCACTAAGCGCCTTTATTAATCTATTAGCTATTAATTTAGTAGACTTCTTATATTTAATAATAATCTAATCTACTACTACTTCTTATTATAGCTAGTAGTTATAAATATCTATATACTATAGCCTTATCTATAGTTAGATAAGCTTTTTAGTAATAAGCCTAATAGTCTAAGTATTATTATAGCTAATATAAATAGTTAGTAGCTATTTAGTAGCTACCTACTTATTAAGTAATAATTTAGTTCCTTATAAAAGGATTTATAACAGTAGTTATAGGTCTTAGTAATTAGTTACTAAGGCTTTAGTGACTCTACCTCACTATAGAGTTATTACAGTAGAGGCCTAACAAGATAAGGGGCTCTATAAGCTTAAGTCTTATAATACACTAATACCTACTATTAAGCCCTACTTAGTTAAGTGCCTATAGCTAAATATCTTATAATTCTTAAGCTTCTATTTCTTTTAAGAAACTAGTATAAGTAAAATAAATTAGAATAATACTAAACAGACTAATCTTTTACTAATACGTTACTAATATATAGCTAGTATAAATAAGCTATAGCTATCTAGAATTAAGTACCTAATAGACCTAACTATAGCTATTAATTAAAGTATACTACTAAAATAGTCTATATAATAATCTAATAAAGAAATAATATAAGGAAGGACGCTATTAAGAGGGTTTAATACGCTAGATTCCTATATAGCTACTAATAAGGCTAATAAGGCTAATAAGGCTTTTATTACTAAGTAGTTATATAGTAAGTAGAGTATAAGTATACGCTAAAGTGCTAGTATAACTATACTAGGCCTAGAGATTATTAACCTTATATAGGTAATAATATTATACTTCTAAGAAACTATAAAGACTATAGTTAAGGAGTATTATAAGGAGTAAAGGCACTATAAGCGCCTTCTATAAAAGCTTACTAACAGACTAGCGTAGCGTCCTAATAAAAAGGAATATAAGAAGCCCTTATTCTATAACTATAGGACTATAAGGGAAAAATCTATAAGCGCCTAAGTAGCTAATTAGATTATTACTATAGAGGTAGGAAATAGGCTCTGCCTAGGAAGCACTATTAAGTAATATATTAAATAGGCCTTCTTAAAGGTATCTCTAACCTTATAGATATAGTAATATAACTATAAAAAAGGCTTACTAAAGCCCCTAAAGTAAAGTAATTTCTTAGTGTTTATTTACTAATAGTATATTAATTTAAAGGCCTAAGAATAAGACTACTAGTAAGAGTTAAGAAAAATAAGAATATATAATAGCTAGAGCTTAATATAATACCTTACTAACTAGTTAGTAATATATTATAACCTAAGCACTAAAGACGTTAAGGACTTAGAAACTAAGGCGTACTACTACTTCTTTAGCCTACTAATTCTATTATAAGACAAAATAGTATAATAAAAGGTACTTATCTTTTAACCTAAAGATATTACCTATAAGGCTAGATAGCTATAGTTACTTAGGAAGTAACAGCCTACTAAAGGATTAGTAAAAAATAGTAAGAAGCGCCTTACACCTAAAAGTAAATAGCTATAAAGACCTATACTATATAAAAAGGATTAAGGTAAAGATATACCTAAGGGATTAAGGCTAATAAAGTAAGTGTATAAACTAGTAGGAGGTAAAAAATATAACACTTAGTTACTAAAAGGTTAGCTAAAAGCAGGCTAGTGTTATATTTATAATAAGCTAGGGCACCTTATAAGTAAATACTATAAAAAAAAACCTAATAGGGGAAGTAATAGTAAGCTATTTACTTACTAACTAAATAAGGGAACTACTACTATATAAAATATTATTATAAGGCCTAAGGTCTATAAACTTAACTTATTAGAAAATAAGTAGGTATAAGTGTTATACCTTAAATACCTACGCCTAAACTAATAAAAGTACTTATAAGAACTACTACTATAGCTATAGTAATTATCCTATAAGGGGACGCTAAGGAAGTTATTAAAGTAGTAATAGATATATACTTAAAAGTAGACTTTATTAGCACTAAATTAGTAAAACACCTAGGCCTAAAGCCTATAAAGGCTAAGGCCTTAACCCTTAAGTTATTTATAGGTAAAAAGGTAGGATAAAGAAAGGCCTATTAGCTAACTTTTCTCTTAATTAACTACTATAGGTAGTTATAGAAGGTTTACTAACTAGTTATTAAGATAAAATAAGAAAAAAGATAACCTAATATTCTTATATCTAGACAGTTTATAGGCTAAAAAGGTATCTAGATAAATATAGCTATAAATTAATAGTATTATAAGGTAATATCTATTATAAAGCTAGAGTTAATTACTTATAATATTATTAAAAACAATAAATATATATATATATTATATATCTTATATAAGGTAGGCAAACTAATAAAGCTAAAACTACTAGACATACTCCTAGAGAAGTTATAAAGTAAAGTAGCTACCTTTAATAAGTAATTAGTAATAGGACTATAGGTATATAGTAAGGCTAAACACTTAATTAATCTTATACTAAGAAAGAAGCCTCTATATAGCCTAATCTACTTACTAAATAAGAAATAGCTAGAGGAATTATACTAATATATTACTAAGAACTTAGTAAACAGGCGTATTACTAGGTCTATTAGTAAGGCTAAAGCACTTATACTTTTTATACTAAAAAAGGTTAGCATAATATAACTTTATATAAATTACTAAGGCCTTAATAAGGTTATAATAAAGAATTATTATCTATTACTATTAATTAGTAAGCTACTAAATAGGCTTTATAAGGTAAAATAGATATTAAAATAGATATCTAAGATACCTACTATTATATTAATATTAAAAAAGAAGACTACTAGAAAATAGCGTTTAAGACGTAATATAGTTATTTTAAATATATAGTTATACTATTTAAGCTAACTAATACACCTATAATATTCTAGGTATTTATTTACTAAGCGCTTAGTAAGCTACTTAACACCTATTATATAGTATATATAAATAATCTAATAATTTACTTTATAATAAGGGAGTAGTACACTAAAGATCTTAAGAAGGTCCTTTA